TGACTCCCTGCAAACGGTCAATGAATGTATATATACATAGACATAGACATATACATATACATATACATATATACAATATATGCACTCTCACTTGTTCATCGATCATGACGATGGCAAGGATGAGTCGAGTCAGTAGCCTGGTGAATAATTCAATATGGCTGGACAACTTTCAATACCAAGCTGTTGGTGTTGCTGCTGGTCGTGCTGCCGTCTGCTTTTCGGCAAGGAACTTGCTGCTACTCACGCAAGAAGGCTTTGTGGACGCATCTGTTTCTCACGGAAAATGAAATCCCTGTAACTTGGCGCCCTGAACATGGCAGGATCCATAGAGCAGGGATTTGGGTCGCAGGATGATATCGTCAACAAAGAATACAGTACAAAGGAATGGCACTACCACTCCAGGTCGAAAGCCGGAGCAAGAGCGGCTGGATCGGTAGGAACGAAGTAGCTGACAGGGTTTAGGCTTTTCAAGGATTGAACCCGAATAGCTGCCCGGGCGAAGGCCTCGAAGCGCCGCGGAGGCGCCTCCTGTGCTGCTTTCAACGTCTTGCGGCGCTTTTGCAACCCGACGGGTTTATAGGGTATAGGGTTTAGGGTTTAGGGTTTAGGGTTTATAGGGTTTAGGGTTTAGGGTTTAGGGCTTAGGGACACTTCACGATCAGAGAAACGGCTCGAGCCCTCAGCTCTCGGATCTTGTCCGTCCTTGGCATCTGCCACGTCGGCGTCGTCCCCTGGCGACATCTCTGCTAGGTCCACTATTCAGGCTGCTCGCTTGAAGGCTGTAGCATCACTGCCCAGAAACCCCCAAAGTTGGCCCTAAACCCCAGACCATAAACCTAGCCTCATGCAAACAACTTCGACTCGTTGGGGCCATCATCCCCCACGGAACGGCCTCCACCATGCGACCTGGGATGCGAGCGGCTCGAGCAAATCACTCTAGTGACAGTAACAAACACAAACCCCAAACCCTAAACCCTAAACCCTAAACCCTACACCCTATCTAGTAGCGACAGGGAAAAGATGAACGTAGTAGCAGTAAAGACATCTGTGGCGGCGGTTCTAACAGGTATCATCCTCGTCACCGTCGGAACAACAATCGCAGCGACATCGCGGGGTGGGCCATCGCCAGTCGCATCAGCAGTGCAATGGTGGTGGTGGTAGTAGTAGTCGTCGTCGTCGTAGCAGTGGTCGTCGTCGTAGTCGTAGTGGTAGTAGTACTTAGTCGTCGTCGTTGCCGTCGTTAGCAGCCGGTAGCAGTAGTGGTGGTAACAGATCGTCATGGTCGTCATCGTCGTCATCGTCGTAGCGGCGGCGGCGGTGGTCGTGAGGATGCGGTGGAGGGACTGTCTCTGCTATGGTTCATGATTCATGACGGTTCACTACAGTCTAGTCTCATCCCTGCACCGCCTACACTTTTACTAAACTGCTTCTGCTGCCGCTGCGATGCTTCCCCCTGCTCCCTGCAGTTCATGATGCGGCCACGAGATGTAAGCGAAAACCCTGCAGTTCATGATGCTGCCACGAGATTATAAGCGAACATTGGAGATTTGCTGTAGCAGTCTAACAAACTTCAACGTCTGGGCCTCAGGCGCTTCTGGCGCAGGCTCCTCGTCCTCCTCCTCCTGCTCCTCCTCCTTGTCCTCTTGCGCCGGAGAATCCGATCCCGCCTCCTGGCGAAGGCGTCAGGCTTCGGAGCAGGCGGAATCGAATGCTTATGCTTGAAAGCAGCAGAGCACAATGTAGGGGGAATGAGGATTCCATGCGTGCTTAGATGCTCCGGTCGGTTGCAGTATTGAAAGCATGGGTTATGCAGGGAGCAGGGCCAT